ATTATTTGGACATAACAGAAACTAAGTATTTTCATAATTTAAAGTACTAGAAACTAGATATTTTATGTTACATTTTTTATTTATTAAAAATAAATACTTTATTTATTTTTTACATATATTTATTATATTTTTTCACAGTTTTAATGAGGTCTTTATACATTAAAATAGTACATAGCTGCCTTTTACATTTTTGGACAGGGGTCCCTTGCATGAGGATGATTGTGTTTGGGGGTCTGTAGCATCTAAAAGATTAATAATTTACACACAGAGAAAAATAAAAAAGTCATTGAATGCCATTTACCGGTCTCTCATTTGGATCGATGAAGAAGATCTTTATGATGATCTCAAACTCTCCCCATCCAGTCTCTGTAATCTCATACGGAGGCTTCGTAACCACTGAAATACAATTAAGAGTCAAATAAAGTCACAAATTTTTGCTATGACACTATTATACATACTGTACTATAAACTGAATCGCACACCTCTTAAAGGGTTCCCGTAACTTTCATGCAGTTTGAACTGTATTTTTTTGACATAAGCAGACATATCCTGGGAATTTAAGGGGGAAATAAAAAGATACATTTTTTAGTGTACTACATGTGAAATATACAATTCTTAAAAATAAATAAGAGTCAACCTCGTTTCTGTACGGCTTCACATAAACTGTCCACTGATGAGTGTGACCATAGTCTTCTCTTTTCTTGCCAAAATATCGTGCAACGTTTCCAAACACGATAGGTTTCACGATAGTCACTCCCTGAAAATAAAGTTATTATAATAAATGCATAAATCAGCCGTTATTGTAAATACATCAGCATTAGCATTAGCATTAGCATTAGCATCACGATCGCTACCTACCTTCACCCGTCCCCCCGAATCTGGACCAAATTCAGCCATCCTCTTAAACATAGTACACGGAGAGTAAAGTGTTTTACTAGGATTGGCTTCTACGAAATGGGAACTGAACTGAATTACTGAACGGAACTGCCATTAAGCACTAAATATTAGTTTCTCTATGAAGAAAGCCTCTGTGTGTCGCGCTCATAAGAGTCCGTCTTCGCTTGTGAGTCAAATTTCAAAATAAGAGTCCTAACAAATGTTTACTAGAAAAAAGTTTCTATTCTGAAAAAATGGGCTATATTATCCTCCTGAGACCTAAGTATAGACTTTTGTCCTCTGTAGAGGATATTATATTTTAGTGAATTTTCCTGCATGCATATTCAGGGATTTTCAGAGATGTTAAATGTTTAAAGGTTTGATCATAAACACTCCCTCTCCTTGGTCTTTAAATATAGCTAATATTAACAGAATTATCAAATTTGGCACTCGTAGGGAAATATGATAATGTTTTGTAATTACAATTCAAATCTGGCTAATTTTCAAATTGTTTGTTGTAAATAAACATCTCAGACATTTTTTTTATGGGGTTTCATATCGAAATATGACTTTTTTGTTATGAAACGGCATCATTTTCATGCATGTCTTCTGTAGAGGACACCAGGACAAAAATCATGTTAAGGGAAACACAACAAGAAATTATAGATCAATATTCCTGAGATGTTCTTATGAAAATGTTGCCAAGTTATTACTCCCATTATAACACTTCGTTTTCATTATGGTTTGCCCCAAGAACACATTAATATGCAAATTAGAGGCAATGTATAGATGCATTGTATAGAATGGGAATACCAGTTTATATGGACATTTTACGCACATATTCCATAAAGTAAAATAGTATATCAAATCATTCTGTTGTATCTTTAATAACATTGTTGATCAATCAATCTTTATTACAGACTCAAGATCCAAATTAAAAAAAAAAACAAGACAATAGGACAACATATACAACCCACAGCATCTACCACCACAAAAAAAAGTTACAAAATACAACAATACCAATGTCTCCACAGCTTTGACTGTGAATCTTTTGACTTGTTGAGAATCATCTTTGTACAAAGTTGGGCTAAAATACCCTGAAACCTGACTGAAACTGATTAGTGAATGAAAAAAATAAAACATTGTTTTTCCCTATACATGACTTTTCATGTCTATTTTTTAAAAATAACTTTGGACATAGAATAAAATATAAATAAAATATATTTTTTCAAAAATTATTTTTTTTTCTCCGTTTGTTTCTCATGCTCCAACCCTATCACAAAAAAAAAAAATCACAATTTTTTTTTCTGTTTCTCAGGAGGATATCATTATTGGGTTATAATTTCATTTTTATCATTTAATCTCTCTGGTAGGAAGCCATGAATAAAATCCAAGTTTAACTAATTATCTGGAAAGTGGTTTTTACGCTGACAGGTGAACAAATTAAAATAATTTGCAAGGAACATAATTGGTAAGTTTTGCAACTACTAATATTAATTTTATGCATCGGAACCCGAAATATAAAGACTTAACGGAACATGACGGGTAAGGCAAAAAAGGCCTTTATTTTGAAATTGCGTGTCGCTCATCAGCACGTCTATTTTTTTATTTTTTATTTTGGGCGGGCGTTTCTTCTTCACGCGCAGCACCGAGGAGGAGGAGGAGGAGG